ATCATCAACAGTACTTCTCGAGAACAGCGTCTTGATCCAAAAAAGCAGAAGTCACGGCCACAATGGCTCCAGGGGTTGCATCAGGCGTGGGTGCCTGAGCCGTACACCTTGTGACCTCGAATGTGGGGGCCTGAATCACTAGACTAGGGTCCCTCTAAAGAAACAGCATCGGCTATACTACTATTTAACATAATATGACTGCTATACTCTCATGATGCCTACTATATTACTATGCTACCCTTCTGTGGCGCTGGCGACAATCTTCACCGCAGGTGGGGCGTCCCTTGTCGGCCTGGATTCGGAATGAGGCTACATGTCAAGAGTCGGTGTAGCAGTGGCTTCGAAACGGATGGAAATCACCAGTATTCGTAATGGAGTACAGCTCGACACCCTGCTGATAAGAAATTTAAGTTACCATAATAGGGATCTAGTAGCAAATGACCTGGTTCCCTTATTGATATGAGGTGACAAGCGCATCGGTCTTAGGGCGTAGTTTTGGGGCTTCAGGGTTATAGGACCTTTGGGCCTTTGGGGTGAGCATCGTGCATCTGACATGTGACATGCAGGGCATGAAGCATTTTAAGCGGGCAAAGACTGAGCAGGCTCACTAGCATAAACCCTCCCTAAACCCTTAAACCCTAAACCCCAAGCCCTAAACCCCTAGACCCTAAACCCTAAACCCAAATCCGTTTTTGGATTTAGGGTTTTGGGGTCTAAATCCCTCAACCCTCCGTCGCCGGTCTATGGACCTCTTCTCCTGGTCAGGGGTGCTTAGGTCTTTGGGTTCCGGGGGTTTAGGGTATAGGGTTCAGGGTTCAGGGTTTAGGGTGTTTGGGTTTTGAGGGTTTATTGAACTGACTGAGTAGGGTTTAGGTTATAGATGAGTTTGGGGATGAGGTTGTTTTTAGGGCTTGGAGGGTTGGAGTGTAGGCTTAGAATTATTGACTGCATTTTGGCTACACTTCTTATGGTCTGCGAGTTTGAGATGGTTCGTCATGAAGACAATATTCGACAACATCCACAATGATATGTTTTGCAATTAGGTATCCTTTTCTGAAACTTGGACCTTCCAGCACGGCCTTTGGCTTCTATGGGCTTTGTTAGCTGGTTATTGACTTGAGAGACCTGCCGTGCTTCAGCGAATGTTGAAGCAAGCGCATGTGGCAGGGATCAAACACAATCTTCCTGGACTAGAGGTGTCGGAGTGGTCCGAGCATCTTTGCTGTGATCATGACGGGTGGTGGTGATGGTTGTTGTTGTTGGTCGTGGTTGTGGTGGTGGTCTTGCCTTGCTCCAACATCACTAGGGCCAGGATGTCCATTTTTGTTGGCTGGTTAGACCAGCGAGACAATGAAGTTTCAAAGCGAAGCTTTTTTTCCCATCGGGCGGATCTTGAGAGGATGTCCGCGTGGTGCCTTATTGTCTCAGGCTGCGGACCACCCAGTCGAAGCAGGATTGTCCTTCTCCGGCGTCCCTTACACCCCCCAAATTTCTATACCCAAAACCCCCGAACCCCAAACCTACACCCCACCCCCTGAACGGCTGGGCAAAAGACCAAAAAGCCCATTTGGGGGGCCTGGAAAAGGCCTCTGAACCCTCCAACCCCAGCCAAGCCACCCCCCAAAAACCCCAAACCATCCAACCGCAGCCCGGAGCTCTGGAAGCTTGAACCCTGAAAGAAGCAAACCCCCATTTCGTGCCTTGAACCTCGCATAGGGTTTAGGGTTTAGGGTTTAGGGGTTTAGGGGTTTAGGGGTTTAGGGGTTTAGGGGTTTAGGGTTAGTATACTACAGTAAGTGCCAGTGTCTTATGGCACATCATGGATATCCCGAAGCATGGCTACTTGAAGAAGGACTGTCCTGGTCTGTAGGGCTTCGGGGTTCAGAGTGGCCAAACTGCGCAGAATACATGTGAAAAGGTGATTGCCAAGGGACGCGGTAATAACGATATTGGCAGGAAGACTAAAAACGAATGCAATTTAATCTCAACAATAATGGAACAAGTTAGCAATAAGAGTTTAATATCAGCAGTCACAATCAGAATGCTGCTGCTGCTGCTGCTGCTGCTGCTGCTCCTGCCTACTCCTGTTAGGACTACAGCAGCAACAGCAGCAACTACTACCACTTTCACTACTGTCTGTATCCTCGTGCATCAACAACAAGCACGAAGAGGCTCCTGCATCGCTCGTCCGTGGCAGCAACTAAGCGGTTCCGAAAGCCTCAATAGCATATAAGAGCTGCCCATCCTATCTTCGAACGAACGATCAGAGCATACGGCAAGAAAGTTTTCTTTATATCCCCGGCATAAAGAGACTTAAAATGTCTTAATACCTTGGACCATATATAAACCTTGGCAATATGTGATGAGCCTAGTTGCCTGTTGCGTAGTACGACGTAATGTAGGTAGCATTCCGACAAGGCGCAGTGCGGCACAGAGCAGATCAAGAACACAATAGCTTGATATGTTGCACCAGGCATAACCCGACCGACGATCAGGCAAGAACGAAGTACACAATCTAAAATCTTACGTTGGGAAACCTCACAGCACAAGCGTGCGGGCACTGGATGTCGAAGTGTTGCCGGCCAAAGTGATCGAATTGCAAGTCGAAGTCGTCAGTCCCAGCCCTCGGAGCTGCGGTTTGAGGGTGCCGTGTTTGAGTGTCAGGGTTTAGGGTTTGAGTGTTACGGCCCCCCTAAATCTGCCCCTAAACCGAAACCCTAAACCCTAAAGCCTATACCCTAAACCGACAGCGAGGTAGTCTGCGGGTCCTTCGAGGAGATTTGCGAAAAGTTCACCATGCCACAGGCGAGGCTTTCCCTGGCTCGGGGTTCGTTGTAGGGGGGAAGGGCTTCCGGTGTAGTGTAGGGGCCTAAATAATGACCTATACTATGTTGATGTTGGGGGGCTGCTTTTTACGATTATAGTATAGTCCCTAAACCCTAAACCCTAAAGCCTAAACCCTAAACCCTAAACCCTAAACCCTAAACCCTAAACCCCAAAAGCCTATTCTAAGTATTAAGGCCCCCGGCATGAGGGTTTAGGGATTAGGGTGTAGAGACTCGGGATGAGGGTCTATGGTCGAGCGGTTTTCGTGCCCTCCACAGGAAGATCCGTTATCAAGTTTTGTAGCTCATACAAGTTTGAAAGATTCGACATCAGAGATCCGTTTATTCATCCTACTGCTGCTACGATGGCTTCCTCAGCTCTGTTTCAGGTACCCTTGATAAACATGACCGTTGGTGTAGCTAAAGAGGCCACCGAAAGCCATCTTGTTTTCTATGCAGGTGGAGCGAGATTTGATTTGCGGGCTCAGGTTGAGGGACTTGGCAGATTTGCCTCTGAATGCCAAAATTAGGTTGCTGAGAGCATGATGTCTGTCGCTGCGTTTGACATCGCACATGCAGCAGGAGCTAGTGCAGAATGTGCTCGTTCGATGTGGGCGTGGTGCTCAGCTGTGTCATGCGGGTACCAAGATTGCGATGCATTCTGTAAAACTTGCTGGGCACTCTTTGCCAAAAGCTGCTATGGCGTTTCGCAGTGTCCCGTTACGCGAGCTGAGGTATGACCAGCCAACGCCAGCCGCAAGCTCAGTGTTGTCAGCACAGTGACAGCTCCAGCGCGGATGGACCCGACTCTCGATGAGTTCTTGGTAATTAATGCAACGTAAACTCAGCCCCCGAATGTATCCGGTGGCCGAGACATGCTGCGAGGCCCAGAAGCACGCTGTTCCAGCAGCGCTGTCGGGCAACGACGTCATGGTGACATTCATCAAGTTTGGGTTTTCAGCACGTTTACAGAGCCGCTTGAGACTTCACAGGTCCCAGATCCGAGTGCACATCCGTCCGATAAAGCTGAGGGACGAAGCCCGGATTAAGAGCAGCTAGCTTGGCCATCCGTGTCACCAGTGAAGTATGGGAGTTTCTGAAAATCAGGGGTACCTTATTTTGGGGTCCTTATAATAAGGATCCCATTATTTAGGGTACTATATTAGGGTCCCCCATTTTCGGAAACCCCAGTATGGGTTTCTCTGCTAGAGGCAGGGTTTCAAAGAGAGAGACGGGGAGTCGCCAGGTTGCAGCTCAGACGGGCAGTGGCAAGACGGCAGCTTTTCTCATTCCCTTGATTGTCCGTCTCCCAGCACACTGTCGCACAGGGCTGCAGAGTTCTGCTGCTGCCACCGAAACCTACCAACAGCAGCACTCTAAACCCTAGACCCTAAACCCTAAATCATAAACCCTAAACCCTAAACCCTACCACCAAGGTTAGATGTCGTTCAAGCGTGGGTTGATGTTGGAACACTGAGATCGGAGCTTGATTTCGCATGTTCTTCAGTTTGAATATTGCACGTCAAATTTCCACTACCACCAATCGGAGTTCTGTGCTTCCGTTGTGAGGGCCGCAGCACTCCCCTCTTTCCCGAAGATGGAAGGGGCTCGATTCACCATCAGGCTGCTGTTGCTCGAGATGATAATGGCCGATGATAGCCGTGGTTGCCATGATGCTGCTGCGGCTGAGGGTGTGGGTGACAGTCGCACTGGGCGAATTCGCGAACAGGTCGGTCATGCGATGAAGAAGAAGAACATGATTATGATGATGATGATGATGATGATGATGATGATGACGATGGTGCTGATGATGGGGATGCTGATGACCGTGATGAAGAAGATGATGATCTTCTTGCTCCGGGCAACAATGGGCAACACGATCTTTGTGATGATCATGGTGATGGAAATCATGGTGGGCTCCAATCTTGACGATCACGACGGCAATGACGGTAACGATGGCAACAGCAGCAATGATGGCGATGAAGCCAGCATTAGCGGCGATAAAGTTTTGCAGCTCCCGGTCATGGTGTTGCTGATGTTGATTGTGGTGGTGATGATCATGCTGATGACTCTGATGATGATGATGATGATGATGGTGATGACGTGGTGGTGGTACCATGTGGTGGCCCGTAGTGGTAGTAGTGGTTCTGGTGCGCTTCTCTGCGAGAAATCAAGGCCGAGACTTTGATTGCCGGCGCACACGAGTTGGAGGAAGGTCCGATTCGTCCCACGGCGTCAGCCCCTCAGCTGTCTTGTCCACTTGGAGGGTCGGGAGACTTAGTAAGTAGGTAATAAGTAGACTTATACCGAAAATAACCATTTACTAAGTCCCGCGACCTTGCAAGCACCAACTCATCGAGCGGGATCCCAGATCTGCAGGGTGGTCTTGGCTCCAACGCGGGAGCTTTGCCAGCAGATCACGCTGGAAGCTCGCAAGCTTTGCTTTAGGACCCCTGTGCCTCGACGGCATCTCTACAGTTCCCCTATCTGGATCCATGAATCCTCCGAAGGACTCTTGCTCGAGCAGTTGCTATCTATGGAGGTGCAGATGCCTTGCCCCAGCTGAAGGCAGGGCGGATTTCTCTCTTCCTGTCTGATCTCTGCGTCTTCTGCTGGAGGCACTGGCAGAGGGCGCCGAGATCGTGATCTGCACACCCGGCCGTCTCGAGGCCTCCTAGCCCTGGCTTCAAGAAGACTCGAGGCAGTCGAGTCCGTGTCAACATGCAACCATGCTCTCCGAGGACTTTCTGGAGCGTGGTGTCATTAGCATGACCAACGCTGCATCCTAAGTTGGTGCATTGTGTTTCGGGAATTCATCGGAAAGCCAAAACAGCTTGCGCAGAGTTTCAGTGTCTTCATGTCAGGTGCGGTATCTCGTCCTCGACGAGGCCCGTGAACACTTTCGTTTTGGGGTTACAAGCAGACCAGTATGAACCCTGTGTTGCCAGCTTAAATCCTCGATGTAGAGCCGTAGTGCTCTGCTGGACTCTTCTTAAACATGGTGCATCCTAAACCCTAGATTCTAAACCTGAACAACTAAGACGAAAGTAGTGCTGGTGCCGAGTTCAAGACGGTATGAGTGCAGTGCAGTGGATGCACTGTTGATGTGTCAGCATCAAGCAGAAAGCCGACACTCAGTAGCATCAGCAGCATCACCATCAATGTCATCAGTTTCGTCGACATCTTGGGGGAACGGCAACGAAGAAGTCGACGACGACGACGAGGACCACAAATACCACCAATAGTAGTAGTAGTAGTAGTAGTAGTAGTAGTAGTAGTAGTAGTAGTAGTACGCGCTTTGCGCGTATTTGACGCCGTTGTTTTAGTGCATGCATGTGAGAAACACACGGCAGGGACGTCACTTTCCGCATGC